CACTTCTGTTCTTAAATACCGTGTTAAATAGTGCTGCGCTGTGAGAATTCCATCGGCATCGAATGCAAGATTTTTGATTTGCCTAGATAGCGCGCTGTTCCCTTATTGCTAAGAGACAGATTCCATAGGTCGAGAGTTCAACCCCGGGTGACTTCACGCATGTTAATTCTTAAAATTCCAATTCACTTTACAATAAATTTACTAAAAATCAAAACAAAATATTACCACTAACATAACATCGACGAAAACGATATGAAACATGAGACTATTCAACAATTGCAACATTTTGAAAAGCTCGAGCTATTGAAAATAGTTCGCTTACATTATGCATTCAGTCGCGTTTGTGCACAAATTGTTATGTCATAATTATCCCAATAAAGCAAATATCTAATTTCTTTTTCAGTTAAATTCTGAAGCAAAAATATTGATCATTAACTTTACTAACGATTAGGATGTTAAAAATACTTGTTTGAATATCGTCTCGCAATGGGACTATTTTGTTAATCGAAAGCGTCAGATTTGAAGCTGTTTGGGTTTTGTTTACGGTGCAATTTATAGTAAGACAGTCAATCAAGATGTCTATAGCCATGACTTTGTTTTGCTTTCAGCAAAGCCTGGCTAAAAATGTTTTCCCTGCTGTGTACAGGGTTTCTCAAATTAATGTACTCGCACAGATGAACGAGACTTTGTTCTTTTAACACATGTTTAAGTTCAGTGATAGTTCAATATAAAAATAGAATGAGAAAGCAAGAAAACTGTTAATCTATCATAAAACTAAATAGGTCATATTGTGCCGGTGTAACGTTGAATTTTGACCCGGGTTGAAGATTGATCCGGGGTCATTTTTCAACGTTGAATAGTGATACCAAAGGTGTTGAATTTAGACCCTAATCCGTTGAAAACTAAGCCGGGTCGTGGAATTTTGATCATGAAACCAGTTCAAAATTCAACAGCATAAAATCACGTATTGATGACTTGGTTTTCACAACTGTGATTTAATTCATAGGCGTTTGTAACGGGGGAGGAGGGGGGGGTAGGGATGCTTACCCCTTTTTTTGCAAAGATAGACATAATTTAGGCATTGAACAATGTGTTGGTTTAGTCCCCACCTGCTTTCAACATGTAGTAAAAAAGAAGAGCAAGTGGTAGTGTTTTTTAAAAAAAAGATATTGCATCCAACCCCAACCCTAACCCCCCCCCCCCCTCAGTAGGATTTTCGGATTTGGACTACTAGTTTGGACAATGGAATTCTTTTTCTTATCAATTTTTTTCAAATTTGAATTTTTCTTTCTTTCTCAATTATCCCCTCCCCCCCCCCCTCCCGAACTTTCAGTTTGCTTCCGACACCGATGTAATCAATGCACACTTAATTCTGTAATTCAGTTGTATTCTTAGAATGAAATATTTGAAAAAATATCATAGATTTCAAAGTTTCATGTAGCTTATTATTGCAATATTTCGTGTAATATTTATTTAAAAAGAGGTACATTTGTATATGTAAATCCAGAATATTAGTAAACATAGTTAAACAATATACAATTTAGTTAATAAATTTGTATATTTTTTTTTTTTTTTTTGTGCTAACAACACTTCATTTACTTTAATTTTAAAATTCCTAATATTAGTATTTGGAAAATGGTGAGAGTTTAACGCATGATGCACGTGCTTATTTAGTTATGCACAACATTAATAACTTATAATGTCCAACTTGAAATACGGATTTTTTCAAAATAAAAGGTTTAGTACGGAAGCCCGTTGGTGCCACGTACGAAAAATATTTTATCTGGCGGCCGCCACTTATTATTTGGCGGTCGCCATTTATATATCTGGCGGCCGCCACATAATTTATATGGCAACCGCCACATAAATTATTTTGCAAAAGGTGAGTGTTATTGGGTTAAAAAGATGGATGCTGACACTACCGCTGCTTATTGATAAAAAGTTAATGATAAAAAACGAATTCTGAAATATTGAAACACCATTCTTAGAAATCCAAAATGCAAAACTTTATTTAATTCTCAACCAATCATAGCTTACAGCAAACACAAGAATATAGGTGACAAGATAACCCGGTCTCACCTAAAACTAACACCATGATTTATGTCCGTGACCCCTGATGAGGCTTCCTAATAACCGAAACACTCTACAAATACTTGCATAATTCAAATCAAATATTAATCTGCTCTATGCAAAAACATATTTACTAGAAGTGTAGATTGGAGTGTAGGTTCATAATAAATTTCTTACAAGTTTGGTTGATTGATGTCGCTATTATAATTTTTACACTGTTTCCACCTCTGAAATCACACGTTAAAACATGCGCGCGCATCAGGAAGCCAGGTGTTATCTGGCGGCCGCCATATAAATTATGTGGCGGCCGCCAAATATTATGTAGCTGCCGCCGGATAAATATTTGGCGGCCGCCAGATATACAAGTGGCGGCCGCTAGATGAAATATTTTTCGTACGTGGCACCAACGGGCTTCCGTTTAGTGATCTTTTTCGCATAGTTAATCAAACAGTTCAAGAACGAACCTCACAATTAATACATATTTATTTTGTTAAGTAGAGGATGTAAAAGGGGTGTCATCTCCCCTTTTTGGGATGAATACCATATATATTTAAAGATTTTTTTTTTTGACTGGGCTGTTTTCTTCATTTTTGTAGTTCTTTTAATCAAAAAATGCTTGCCTTAGATACACAACTCTAACTTTCAGCGTTATTTAATATTTGTAATAAAGTAGCCAAAATAAAACATTGAACACCCCCGAATCGAGGAAACACAGGATAGTTTGTGAGAAATTTTTGAAGCGGCCCTTCCATCCAATTAGAGAAACATGATTTGGTTTTCAACACTGGCAGGTTTCCCTTTCCATTTTTTGTTTGTTTGTTTGTTTATTGCGTTTCGTTTATTTATTTTGTTTATGTTTCTTGTCACAATATTTCAGAAGGTTTTGACACCATACCCCCGCTTCCAAGAAAAACTTTAGGATCTCTCTCTCTCTCTCTCTCTCTCTCTCTCTCTCTCTCTCTCTGTTTCTTTGAAGAAGAATGCGCTTTTTAGTTGTTTAGATCAAAAGAAGTTGCAGGGACGGCGTTTTTTAATTGTTGATATCAAAGATGGTGGGAAGTGCAGCTTCTAGTCCATCCCAGATTCTAATTCTAGTTCTCATTCTCAAGGTTATGCTCCGAAAAAGATCGATTTTTAGGCCGAGGCAGGCTACTGACAGATAAGTTTGTTACAAGGATTTCACCAACCTTGTTTAAAGTCAGCATTACTTACATGTTATGGTCGCTATATTGATCTTTTCACAAATATAACGTATCATTGGATTCATTTTGACCTATGTGTTTCATTCTAATTTTTAGGCTTTTAATTTTGTTAATTTTTAAACTGAATTTAACTAGATGGGATGTTCTGCCTACCTGATCACTTTAATATTATATACGGCTCACTTTCTAGAAACCAGATCTCCAGGATTTTTGTTTTATGCCCTTTTCATGGTTTTGTACATGTAGTTATTTATTGATATGAATTTTAGAAAACATTGTCAAAAATAAAGTTGTCATGCTTGAAGATAACTAAATTAAATAATATAAATAGTGTATCAAAATGTACATATATACACGGGATGATAGGTTTATTTCTATTTTTCTTGAAAAGGGAAAAAATTGAAACCGAAATGTAAATATAGAGATACTGATACATCCCGTAAAACAACTTCCAAGTTCAAAAAAATTAACTCTTAGGTGGGGTCAATATTCAACAGGGTCAATTTTCAACTCGCTGAAGTCATCGGGGATAAAAAAAAAACATCAAGCTGTTGAAAAATGATCCCGGGTATAAATTCAACGACTTTTGGTCTCAATTTTTAACGTTGAAAAAAACACCCCTGGTTCAATATTCAAGGTTGAAAAATGAACCCCGGGTCAATTTTCAACTGGGGTCAATATTCAACGTTACACCGACTCAATATATTATCTTAAAATGCAGAATAAAACAAACATTATTCAAAATCAAATGTCCATTAAGCCAAACAAATCAGGGGCAGAGATTACAGGTGGGTTAGGTGCCATGGAAGCGTGATCGTGAGCATCCCCTGCCGATGGGTCTTATGTACCCGATCCTAACTCTGGAATTTTCAGGGTTCCTTGTTTATGATCTTTGTACAGATTTTTTTGCTTGAATTTTTTTTGGAGATCTATTACTGTATTATTTTTACACGTTTTCATTATATAGAGATTACGGCCTTTACTAGTCTCTGGATATAAGTACTATTAAGTGTCCACTTATCCTTAGGTGTCAGTAGATCGAAACGTCTACTATTCCCCAGGTATAAATAATTTTGTGTCATAATCATTACTCATGTGAAGTACCTTCATGTTGTCCACTGATTCAAGCGCCCCCTTACCCCGTGAGTTACAGAGATCTGTAGTTGCCCATACCTCCTATATCCACATTGATTTTCCCTCTCACTTTAATGCAACAGAATAAATGTAATTAAAATATCATTGACAAATAAAAAAAATATCATTGACAAATAAAAAAACCCCTTCCTCATATGTCAATAAGATAAAACCGAAGAAAAGACAAAATATAAATATTCATGATTTAATTACAAAAAGCACAACATTTTTAAGAACTTTATAACATTGTTAGCGATTAACAACAAATATATATTTTAAAATATGAAATGGCTAGTACTATAACTCAAACATAAGTATTTCTTAAAGGGTTGATCCAAAAGTAATGTCATAAATACTATAAAATCTTTAAAATTCGAAAATATTCATAAAAAATTCAGTATAATATGTCATTATGTAAGTTTGACTTTTGCCCTAAAACATTCAGATATAGGCAATACTTTATGAAATATATGGAGATATATTCAAGCTCAAAGTCCATGAAACAATACAAAATAGGAGCAGAGCAAACATGGACCTATAAAAAAATCACATGTGGGATCAGGTGCCATGGAGGAGTGAGCATCCCCTGCTGACTCGTAACATCCACCGTGTACTTCTTTTCATGATTGGGAAATTAACAGAAAAATCCGTCGACAATAATAAATAATGGCCTAACAAGTAGTCCGAAAAATGTCAGTCAGCATTTGACTTAATGCTAAGTTGTATATGCTGACAAGGACGAAATGATGACTCTTAGCGAGAGGGCTGATATTCTTGTTTCGTCATATTGTCTGTCAATAATTTACCTCGTTTTAGAAATTGTACATATATGATATTATAACAGTAACTTGATCCAAAGGGTCGTATCACGTCAAGTTAACAGGCGCGGATCATCAGATCTAACGAGACGCGAAGCGTCGAGTTTGATCTGATGATCCGCGCTTGTCAACGAGACGTGATACGGCTCTTCAGATCAAGTTACTGTTATAATGATAAATTTATTATATGCCCAATTATAACTTGCTAAATATATTAAAATAATCCTTTAGAGATCAATAGAATAACATTGATCCAATAAACAAAGCATTGAACAAAGGAATTTTTAACGCGCCAGAAAAATAACGTCATATTTCTGCGTACTGCGTCATCAGTTTCAGAGAGTGGTGATAGAGAATCAGAAAACCACCGGAAAGTCGACACGTCACGTGATTGCATAAAATTGACAGTAATATTGAATGATACACATTAGGTATATAATAAATAGGTAGAACATGTTCTTGTGTATCGAATCAGCTGAAAAACATATACCCCGTATACAGATGATGAAGGTATATTACTGCATAGGTTAGGGAAGTTGACGATTGAAAAGTTAAAATCAAATTGTTTATCATAAAGCCTGATTGTGTATATGATATATAATTGATCATGTAATATATCAGAAACAACACCGGTATATATTTTATATAGTTTATCTAATAAGCACAAATATATATACAGCCTGACTACATTGGATATCAGTTAGCAAGTAAGTGTCTTTGTACCAAAATCGTCTTATATTTTATAGTCTTTGGAGCCTGGGAAACAGGAAATGTACGTGACTCAATTTCAGAATAATGTCAGTAGGTTACTGAACTCTGTGAGAGTCAGAGAGCTAACTTTGCTTACGTGTCAAATCAATTATAAACAGATTGTGATACAATTCTAGTAAATTCCAAAACATTACAGATCAAATAATATTAAAATAAACTCAACGTTTGGTCTCGTTTATAATTATCGTCAAACGACAACAATTCGAACGTTTCTCTTTTACACTTATTTTGAATCTGATTAAACATACGATTTACGCATAAGATCAATTTAGAAAAAACGTTTGGGCAACATTAAAATGATTTTAATAGTACAACTCAAAACAAGAGTTATTTAAGAAATAAGATATCTTTTTTAAAACATATATTGGAATATGAATACGATTTGGTCACGAGATCAAATTCCAAAAAGCCTTGATGTTGAATTTGATCTCGTACCAATCTATGTTTATTGTCCGATAAAATAATACCTTATTACTTATATTTACATTTTTTACTTATTCATATTTTATATTTGCCTGATTATAACTTTTAATGTGTAAAATGTTTTATATTTCAAACTCAACGGCATAGGCCTACATGTAATCCATTGAATGTGTATCGACCCTTTATGACGTCACTGAGAAATTACGTCGAACGTTTATTACGTTCGAAGAACCTGCAGTTAAAGATACACATTACTTTCAGTATAGTGGTATTTAAAGGGAAGAATTTGAAAATGTAAATATAGCAACATAAATAGAGTTAAAATCTTTAAAAAGCACATTCGTTGATTATATCTTAATCTTCAAAAGAAATATTTCATATTATGAAATGAAATCTTTGAATGGCAAAACAAAATCATAGTAGTGGTATTTATACGTCAAATATTGTTTTCAACAAAATTATTGATTATTAAAGAATTTAATGCGGTTGTGACATTACTTTTGGATCAACTCTCCAATTTTCAATGTTTCACTTTGTCGGAGGAAAAACACAGAAACCTATAGAGTAAGACATTGTTTGAATAAAAAAATGACCGTAGGTGGACTAGGGAAGAATTTTTTAGATATTTTAAGTTGAAATTCAAAATTCGAACAGCTATTCATAATAACGTAAAGATATATTGAACATGGTTTCTCTGTGCGTCTGTGTTTTGTTTCGACAAAATGGTCCTGTTTGCAGCACAGTTAGGGTTACAAATGGAACTAGTGCTAATTGTAACGGGGACCGTTACAGATGTTCCCCAAACGCTCCCCAACTCCCTTTTGGTGCCATATTCCCTGTAAGCTTCATTAAATAAGACAAACTCGATGCATTTGAGACTTTAACAACGTTTACCCAAAAGTGTACAAAGTTCATTCAAATTTTAGCATTACACGCGTGTGCATGTGAATGCATGTGCGTAATGACCATATCATCTTGTCTACACAATCTATATATTTAAATATACTAAATATTAAAGTATTTAATCCAAAAGTATTAAAAAGATACGCTCATTCAAGTGTTTTTTTTTATTTTGCTCATTTCACATGCACGCACGTGCATACATGAGCATGGTAACCATATCTTCTTGTAGATGTCCGTTACATCTATCTGTGTTCTAAATCTCACCCCGTTTGGTTGAAAACGAAGGGAGTTATAGCTGTTAAAGTTTCAGCCAATCAGATTGCAGCGCACGAACATGCACGTGTGTGCATGTGCATGGTGACCATATTTTCTTGTAGTAGTCCAGTATATCTATCTATGTTCCAAATCCCATCCTATTTGGTTGAAAATCAAGGGAGTTATAGCTATTTAAAGTTTAAGCCAATCAGATTGCAGCGTACGTGCATGCACGTGTTTTCATGATAATTGCTATATATCATGTTGTAGGATTTACTAATGCATGGCTATTTTCAAAATTTCAAAGGATTTCGTCAAAAAACAAGAAAGATATTGAGACTTTAGTTTCAGCCAATCAGAACGAAGCGCACGTGCATGCGCGTGAGATCTTGCTATTTTGACCATGTCATATTATCTATGCTTCTAATATATCCTTATATTATAAGTTTCAAAGCATTTCATCAAAAATTTTAAAAGTTACGCCTATATCAATTAAATCGGTCATTTCACATGTTGCACGTGCACGCTCTTGCAAGCACGTGCGCGCAAAATGACCTTCGTTCCGCAAATCTACATAACATGTCTACTGACCCTAAAAACATTTCACCTTAGTCGGATGTATAGTTTACGAGATCATTCCCGGACAAAAAAGTACCCAGGAAGAAGAAGAAAAATAATAATAATAATAATAATAATAATAATAAGAAACAGAGTAAAAACAATATGTTCCCCAACTTCGTTTGGGGAACATAAATATCGGCGATTTTTTAAGGTAAAAATATATGCTTTATTAGGATGTGCGATTCTTTTTAGGACTTCACTGGTATCAAAAGAATGTAATGTGGTTTAAATCTACATGTCGGGGACATTTAGATTTGTCACGTGATGTCGACGTCACATAATTTTAGCAATTATACTTGCAGTTTAGAGGTCATTTATAAATTCCAATGTTGCAAGGGCATAACCAAGTTAAAAAATCTTAGTTTAAATTATAATCCTTTTCAACACTATATGTAGTTTATGAAAAGTGCTGCGAATCTATATAGATTCCCTTTTTTAATTGCTAAAATTTAATTTGTTGGACGGCAGGTTGAATATTTTGCTGGTCAACAAAGTTGAATATAGCTATAATTAATTTATTTGCAAGATTTCATGAGGTTCGCAGCAGTTTTCAAATATCCTAATGCTTGTTGAGTTTATGTGTAAAATATTGACAAGATACATTGAGGGTATGCCCTTGCAATAAATCGATTTATTAAGGCCCTTCCATTACTTTTTCAATGAATCTGCATACAAACACACGACAGCATCACTTGTCTGCAGAATGTACGCATAGTTTATTAATAAAATACTAAAACAGACATCGCATCCAAGTTAACGGTCTTTTATTCAATAGCAAATAATATTTTATTTTAGAAGAAAAGACATTTTTCATTGTAAAAATGCGACTTGATCAGCCTCTCACTGTATATAAACTGCGTCATTTTTGCGAGATGACGTCACATTGACAAGTGCATTGCGATCAATGCATTGTTTATATACTGTTGTGTGGGATTTAACAAACGACAAAACTGCATGTAAAAGTAAGTTTGTATGAAGTATATAGCTATCCAGCTGTTTGAAATAGCAAATACGTTCATTTTGTGATATTTTGAAGACCTTATATTATGTGTGACGTCCTAGTTAACATTTCCCGTACAAATTAGGTCACGCCTCCTTACTTTAACCTTAACTGTGCTGCGTTGTTAGCAATGAACTGTTCTAGCGAGTTTGTAAAACGAAAACTTGTTTGTAAAGTATCTAAAACCTTGATATAAAACCTTGTGGTCATTACGAGTTTATTTTTAAATTGTGCGAGTGTTCTTCAATAAAAGTGTTTTTTTTGTTTAAGATTCAGAAAACCAATTTTAAAAAGAAAGTGAATTTCTCTGGTGTTTCTAGGTGTCTGCGTCTTTCCTAAATGCCGACATTTAAAAATAATATTGGGTTTTCGTTACTCAAATGAACACAGACCCTTTACACATTACATAGTCTAAATTGCGTGCATTATATTTCAAAACTGACACTTTATAGTCAAAAATAATAGTATACAGTAAGTTTCACAATGTTATCTACAAAACATTCATTGTATTAATAATAGATTATTAGTTACAAAGTCAGTTAGTGACCTAATACGGATTCATACAGGGTGTGAAATGGAAATCCGTATTGGGCGAGGCGGAGCCGAGTTCCAATACAGATTTTCATTTCACACCCTGTATGAATCCGTATTAGGTCACCAACTGACTGTGTTACGAATTTATCCCGCTGAAGACCTTTTTCAATATAAAAAGAATATTTGTGCATATTATGAAAATATTAAGTTTTAATCCAATAACAATCAACATAAAATATCGTTACGGTAACAAGAAATTTAACTAAACTACCTACGTAAACCGTTTCTTTGCCGCCATTTTTATTTACAATAACAACGCTTCGAACGGAATCGCGTGCCCGATTTTCATATTACGCCTGGACGGAGACGTAATACGGAAAATTTCAGGGCGTCATGTCATCAGCCTTTATCTAATCAGCAATCGACAAATTTGTATGAAGCGGGATAAATATTATTATTACACATTGTACACATTTATGTTTTACTACATTTGATGTGGTATTATAATAGTGATTGACAAGAAACTCATCTGTACTACATTAGATGAATCACTAAGGTATGCCAGGCATTAAGGACAGTTCAAAATTATGATTATTACGATTATGATTATATTCCAACTTTCTAATTGTCGTTAGTGTCTCTGGCATCCCAACAAACTTGAAAACACCAGAACCTGACCACAGGTCCATAAAATACATAATTTAAGTAGAGGAGGCAATGCTTATTACAATCACACCAACAGTTATGACCGTATAATGTCCAGGAGTAAAGAAAAAAGTTTTTTTTAAATATTGTATTAAATTTGGTGGTTATCCTACTTCGCAGTCTCCAAGGCGACAGGACGATAAAATTCATATAAAAAAAATCTTTACTACTCATAGATGCCATATGGCAGAAATGTTTAAAATTGGTTCTACACTTCCAGAGGAGAAGCTGAAAATTTTCAAATGTTATTACACTACGCACAACTGATGATGAACAATGCACGACGAACGACGAAAACGGATAGCAATAGGTCACCTGAGTGACGCAGGTGACCTAATGAATAAGTCAAAATATTTTAACTAATTAACTAATGTATCAAATGGAACATCACACAGAGTTTCCTGTCAAGTCGAAATCAACAATAACCTTTTATCTCAAGTCAAAAAAAATATGTTGGAATTTTTTATTGATGACAAAAAATGCGAGTTTCCTATTATATGGAATTTTAAAGAAGGGTAGTTAGGTTATTATTTTTCCGATGTTGAGGTGGGGATTGGAAATTCAATATCTTTTTAAAAAAAATAGGTCTAGGTTTAATCAATGTCTAACAAAGGCCTTAAAGAATACCGATCCCGCTTAAAAAAAACAAAAAACTAATGGTTTTACCGTTAATACACAGGGAAGTAACAAGTCTTACTGTTATATTTAATTACCATCTTTTACATCTATTCATCTTATATGATATTTTCATTTAAATATCAAGAATGGATTTATTAATTTGATTTTAAAACATTGATCAGAGATCTTCTAGGTATATATGCGATATAGTCCAAATTTGGCCCCCAAAAAACTTCATAACAAATACATATGACGATAATTATGAATCAAGAAATTGCATTTTAGACTTTGACTTGGGTTAACAAATGAAAAAAAAGTGCCAAATTGTTTTTTTTTTTCCTCATGACCAGTAAGACATTATCATATTGTCATTTTTTGTACCTCTTAAATGATTCCGATGTCATTCTATTTAAAGTATCCAAAAAGAAAACTTGATACATTACATACAAAAAAAGTTCTGAAATAATTGAAGTTTAGATTGCATTCTGTCTATTCTTAATGTAAGGATTTCTGTATATTATTAAATGCTTTAAACAATAATAAAAACTAGACCCTCTATGCCACCGAACACCATGTCACAAGAGCATAGGTAACTGGTAATAAAGATATTAAAATCAAATGAAGTTTTTTTGGAAAAAATCAATTCAAATCAACATGTCTAATTTAAAAACAAGTACAATTTTCGATAATACCAATCATCGAGAATTCTTACATCTAAAATACTTTGATTACGTCAGTTTTACTAAACTATGGTACATGTTGCTTAGTCTATATAATATTGTTGATATCGTGCAGAGATCCGATGGCCTTGGTCTTAAATTTAACTCATCAGTTATGCTTCTTCGTGCCATTTTAACTATGCAAATCGGATATCTGCACATAACCAACAATATACTTTCATGTAAATTACTAATATTTAATTCGTCGAGAAACATTTCTTTAAAAACGTGTTAATACCCCCCTCTGAATCATGGAACTACGCTACGCACTCCAGCGAGATAAAATTTAGCAACAGTTAGCATTCAGTATAATATTATTATTAATATTTCAGGATTATTGATGGACAAACTCTAGTTTTTGTTTCTAACCATCATCGAAGTCTGTTTCAATGCTTCAGTTCCTGTCCAGTGATACCATATCATGTATTGCCAACCAGACGCCCCAGACTGTCCGTACTGTCCGTTCAGGTTCGCGTAGTGACAATTGTTGTACCACCAGCCTCCCTTATATGTTACACCACAGTTACCACCACTCCACCCGTCATTGTCCTGGTCTTTAGTAGTAAATCTATATCCATTGTTATACGATAAACTGTCACCTGTAACCAAGTGTAGATAACATTTAAGCCTACTTATTAATGAATGATATGTCGTTATAAAGATACCGCATCTGTAGATATCATTGTGAATTTTGACCTGTATAAAGTGGTATCAAAAAAATCGTGGACCAGCGCCATAAAGTTAAAACAGCTTAAGGTACATTAATGAATTTTAAAACATCTAGCTAACATCATCTTTTCTATCTATATAATAAACCACAAATCATCAATTTTATTGTTAAATAAATTAGTAATGTTTTTGTAAGCAATGGTATGTCCAGGCGGCGCAACCCTGAACACGACGTTTCTTCGACCTAAGTGTAACTGAGAAAAAATCATTTGATATGAACATTTGACATATACCTTCATCACCTGCATATGGAGTATATATATCTCAGTTGATTCGATACGCAGGAGCATGCCCTACGTATGAACAATTTCTAAAACGAGGTAAATTATTGACAAGCAAGTTGATGAAACAAGAATATCAGCAGTCCCATTTAAAGTCATCATTTCGTAAGTTCTATGGTCGATACAATGACCTTGTCGGCAAATACAATTTATCATTCAGTCAAATGCTGACTGACTTTTTTCATACTAATTGTTAGTCCATTATTTATACACTGAATTGACTACGAATTTTTCCGTTATTTCCCGATGATGACAAGTAGCACAAGTATAAACTTATAGGGTTTAGCACAGGCATATTGTTTGAATATTTTAAACTTAGACAATATTAATATCATAATCATTTTAAGTTACTAGAAGTGAAAGTAAAATGATATAAAGGTTTATTAAATCAGAATGTATATTATTAGTGACTCAAATTCGATGACTTTATAATTGGAAAAAGGACTTTGATTTTGTGAACTATAATTATCTTGTTAAAACAAATTGGATTTTATTGTTGTTCCAATACACCATAATTTGGTAAATCATTTTGTAATGAAATTGGTCCGAATAGACCAATCAAGCCCATCGATAGTAAGTAACAGAATCTGAACGGAAATACAATGGTATTATTAAGAGTTTTGACTAAGAGCAATACATTTGGGAACTTTGAGGTAAATAAGTAAAAGAGCTTAGGGCTAGAACTCCTGTGGTGCAGAGATGGGGATTGAGCCAATAGATATTACTAATGAGTATTTATCTGCATTTAAGGGTGGTGCCATGTTGGGGTTCATAGGTCAACGGACAGACCTACGGACAAAGCGTAGGTGGTTAGTGATGGTGAGTTAGCCAATGAAATGCATTTTTATATCCTGGACCAAGGATACCCACTGAGCACAAAATACCCTGTTTTGGTCAGAAAAGAGCATTCCCGCTTTCATTCCTATTCCCGTTTTTATTCCCGGTCTTATTCTAAAATTATCAATTCTCTCTTCACCTTTTATTTTTGGGAATCATTCTTTTGGACTTTTGCTTATTTATCTATTAGGAGTTCGGTCTTCAGCTCTTTGTATTTTGGACGGACCCTTTGAACATTTATATCAACAGTGCATTGGTTTATACGGATCAAATTTCAAATTTCGAAAACGCTTTTAAAAAACTATACGATCACAGTAAACTTGTAAATTGGATTGATAAACTTTTAAACCAACTAAAGTGTCCTCATTGGCTTACACACGGCGGGTGTGACCGGTCAGCAGGGGATGCTCACTCTTCCTTGGCACCTGATCCCACCTCTGATGTTTCAGAGGTCCGTGTTTGCTCTGCTCCTATTTTGTATTGTTCTATGGACTTTGAGATTGAATACTGTTCGTTATCTCCATATCCTTCCTTCATCCAAAAATCCCTGAATTCATGTATTTGTTGGGACACTGTTGTTCCATAAAAAATGGAAAATTATCTCATTCTGGAAGTTCTATGAAATTAATTTGAATAATCAAATATAATAAATAAATAAATTTAACTTGGATTGTCCAAACAAATAAGACATTGAAAATGACGACGAAAAGGAGGAGGGGTTTCCTTTTCCAACATTTTAAATTTTGCCCCTGAAAAGCTGGTATAGACCTAAGAAATTTTTAAACTGGCTAAAATGCATCCAGAGTACTTGTTTGTAATGCCAAAAGAGATTCAGAGAGATAGGGGATGCACAGTTAATGTCGATTTGTTGTCAAGATGTGAAACGCAACCACGTCAAAAATGACGTTGACCATGTGTTGTAATACACATTCAGGGAGAACCGGTTTCCAGGGGGGCCGGTTTGGAGAAGTTTCACTGTATTAAACTCAAAAAAATAATTGCTGGCACAATCAAGCGAGGATCACTCCCAATGCATAAATTCATTTGCAATATGAAATGCATCGAAAGCCACCTTTCTGGCACTTAAAAAGCTATATAAACAAGACGGGACTAAGTCCTAACTCAGCTCCAGGGAATCCCATCAAAATAAGTGTATGAGGTAGAAGAAGCGGACATTGAAAAACAATGACGTTGTCGGACGTCATGACACTAAACGGCGACGGCGCCGGGTGCTATTAAGTCGTTTTTATTTGAAAATAAATTGGGAAAAAATGAACGTATCAAGCAAAAATTTTCAACATTTTTTAAATATTTTTTGTTATTTTGTTTCTTATAAATTTTGAAAGCAAAGACTACATGGTACTAATTTTAAAGCCTCAGTCCACGAGCTTTTTGATAACCCCTCGCATAGGATATTCATATTTTTAGCATCACAGCAAGAAAATAATATTTAAGATATGAAATAGTTACCCCACCTAATATTATTGGGTTATTGAACTTATATTGGTGATTATTGGTCTGCATAATCCTTCATTTAGAGAGCATTGGCGGATAAAACTACTCACCCACTGTTCCGTTGTATCCAGATACTGTCAGAGTATACTTATTGTTTTCATCTCCGATGTAAAATGTAGAATACACAGCATAGGCCTGTTCTCCATTATAACTCTGTAGATCAACTCGGAGTTCTTGGTTTTTATCCTTTGTTAAGGCGTAGATTGCGTCATTCCCTATATATAATAAATATACTTTATAACTTTTTTTAACAAATAATCCATTACCAATATACCAAAAAAGATCGACTTTGAATAAAAGAAGATCCTAAAAGAACGACAGAAAAAAAGAAGTAGACACTAACAGTATTCTATGTCTCTGTACATGGGGGAATGGGAAAATATTCTTTTGGTGTTTTGTATATTCTCAGATTTAGATCTTATCTTGTTGTAATGTTTTGTAGCATTTCATGACTACATGTGAAGAAACACATTTGTAATTGCTCGGATTTTGTAATTAATTTATAATTTCCTTAATTTATAAAATGTATTTTGGTGATATTTATTGTAACACATCCATTGATAGGGAGTTTAATAAATGTTAACAATATATAGATATTGTTCATATACCGTATGTTTTCCTTTATACAATTGTGAAGACATTTTAGTAACCTGTAATAAAATGGTTAAAATTATGAGTAAATAATGACCCCCCAACTCCCGGAAAAAAAAACAAAAACGTTGAATTAACTTTTATTCAATGTCTAATCAACATTGATTTTCAATTTTGAATCAACGTTGAGATTTCAACGTTGAACTCAATTTTCAAAATCTTACATAAACTATTTGAAATGAAACTATATATTAAACAGTTGAACAAAGTTTTTTCAATGTTGTGTGCCTGCTGGGTATATATATATATATATATATATATATATATATATATATATATATATATATATATATATATATATATATATATATATATATATATATATATATATATATATATATATATATATATATTGGCTATATATATATATATATATATATTATAATTATACCTATCCAATTGTTATTAGAGGCATTCCCAAATCCATGTTTATACTCCATCCATGTCCTGTTAAAATCCACCTCATCATCCTGTCGCTTTTGAATCACCTGTAATCAATGCCAGATATTTCATTTTGTTGCTGCTAAACACCGACTAGTATGTAACTTTCTCCTCAATTATCTGTAAATGTTCAAGCTAGAATATATGCAAGTGTGTACTATTTTGTGATACAGAGACGGTTTGTGACAAGACTGAATATTATAGAATTGTTTTAACATCTGATATTGTCATTGTGTAAAAACAAAGCAAATCAATTTTTAAAAGGTTAGTTTCTAAATCTTGTCTACTGCACACCCGATGAGTACAATTAAATCCCAGAACTTCAGATTTAAATTCTACTGCCCTTTGTTATGTTAGAGTTCGTCACTTAATGTTTGGTTAATGCTTTAATAGAATATAATTGTGGAGTTTAGATTGCGACTCGTTCTTCAGGTGCTGATGTTGAGGGACAACCATAATGTCATCATGATAAGTTTTATTGGGTTTGTTTCCAAGATGTCTAACATGTGTGACTTAGTTTTTTCATACATAAGGAAAAAATAAAACACTACTCACTGTCCACCCTCCACCATCTGTTGTCATGTTACACAAGACCTCTCTTCGTGTGTCAGGGTAAATTACGTACACACCGTCTTTTCCTTTCTTGCTTGGGTCTCTTTTCACAATATCTGAACAGTCTTTGTACATTTTTTCTATTCCATGTAAAAAGGTTAAGAAATTCAATATATAATTAATTTCTATATACTTACTAATTGATTCACATGGTTTCAAACATAAAATTCAATGGAGATTTAAGGATATATTGTGTGTTCTTTAATTCATAATTGAATACTCCGTAAATCTTATTATTTTCTTTTGGACCTTTAAAAATATTATTACAGAATCTTAAGGTATAGAAGATACAATCTGGAGAATAAAATATGTAGTCATAAGACATCTTAACATAAAATTTTAAATATGAATTAATTTGAAATCTATTGTGATCAATAATTTTTGTTGGAAAAAATAACATTATTTGGAGAATTGCAAGGTTTTAATTACTTATTGACATTGACAAAACATATCAGGAAAACAAGTGTTTTTCGAAAGTTGATGTCCTCGATTGCAGCTACTTTATGTGTGTAGTTATGTCTTCTAGATCAACTAGTGTTGTAATTTGTATGGAATAAATCTGATTGGATTAAGTAGAAAGCAGTGGTTGGTCATGTCAAAGGTTACATAGTAAATATAACATATACTTGTAATGATATTCGTTTTTTAAAGTAAACGCGAATTGTTAAGGCTTGAAAAAAGGGTCGAGGCCTAATTTTTAACGGGAAATGTTTACTGTGACGTCACACAAAAACACAACTTTTATGTATTCCTCATAATACCAGAAAATGAAATAATTTGCAAGTTTAAACTGTATAAGCATAATAAACAACAATAAAATTTGTCAATGCATTAAAAAAAGTAGCTAGTTAAATCCCATACAACTGGTTATAAATAAACAAATCACTAATCTGGATGAACATGTCAACATGACATCATTTTGGTAAAAATGACGTATTTCATGTGCTGTGAAAGGCAGATTTAGGAATTTTTTTAGCAATGAAAAATGCGTTTTATTATAAAACAGAATATTATTTACAGGTTTTAAATGGGCTATTACATGTAATACCAATATTCTTTGCTGAGTACGATTATTCGAAATAACTAATTTCCTTGGAAAAATATATATAGATAATGTTTTCAATTAATCATCTTTGCCTTTAAAATGTTAAGAATCCTTCAATTTATTACAAATTCAGTTATAATCTGTAAATTTCTGTTTACTGGATATATTAAAACATGCCATTAATGTGTGCAATATATATAGGCCTAAATGAAATCCAAAAAACAGTTTCTGATATATGTAGAGAGGGTCAATGTATATATTTTTGTTTTGGGCCTTTTAAAATAATTGTACAAAAACTGAAGGTATTACACTTGCAATCTGGAGATTTAAATATCTAGTCATAAGTCTTAATAAAAAAAATCAAATATGAATCAATTTTAAATCTATCATGAACAAGAATTTTTGTAGAAAAATATTAAAGTATCTGCAGATCGCAGGGTAATAAACTCATATTGATAACAACTATAGAGAAAACAGGTATTTTGGATAGTCATGATGAGTCTTTATGTTATAAACTTACATACACATCAACTAGTGTTAAAATTTACCGTTTCAATCGTTTTTGATTGAATGCAGTTACATAGGAAAATATACGGAAAACTTTTAAAATCTTCTTTTCATGTACTTTAAAGCCATGATGAGAGATAATTATATGGAATCATCCTCAGGTAGTGTAGATTCTAGTTTGTTCAAATCAAAACCCCCAGGGATAGGATGGGGCCACAATGAGGGATCCAAGTTTTACATTAAGATATATTCAAAAAGTCTTCTCAAGAATAGCAAAGCCATGATTGGTGGTACTAGTATTTATATGGAAGCATTCTAAGGTAGTGTAGAATTAAATTTGTTCAAATCATAACCCCCAAGGGTAGGGTGGGGCCACAATGGTGGATCAAAGTTTTACATAGAAAAATAAAGGGGAAAATCCCAAAAGTAGAAAATCTATGTTTAGTCGTATTGGCGTGTAAGCATCCTCATGTATTGAAGGTTTAAATTTGTTCAAATCATAGCCCTTTAGGATAGGGAGGGAAACAATGGGGAATCAAATTCAAATTATTACGAAATAATATATAGGAACAAAATGTTAAAAAAAGAAATCTTTTTATTAATTAAACAGCAAAGTCATGAAGACTCCCCCCCCCCCCCTCTACCTCAGTAAACTTTCAGTTCTGATCTGATATGTGTTTTTTCCTAGCCGATGTGCTCAGATGAGCGATGTTGTCCCTGGGCCTTTTGTTTGTTCATAGAAAACGATTGCATCCAGTCATCATTGTAGAAAAATTCACATCCGCCAACGCTAATTATACATTTTTTCAATATTATCGTTACCAACATTTCTGTATAAACAAATTATTTCATTCCTTTGATTTGAGAAATTATTGCTTTTCACTGTATAACCAGCTAATGAAAATTTTATAGAATATCTTAAGAGTTAAAAAAATACATACAGCCTTGTTTGTATAGGAAAATCGTTGCATTCATTCATTCATTCATTAATGATCGCAGAAAAATAAGCGGATTTTTCTGCATTGTAGTTACAAAATTCCTGTATGAGTATTTCATTGTTTAAATGTTTTTTTCAGCATACATATATAACCAACTAAGTAAATTTTCATTGTCTTCTGTACTAACTTATGTTGATTAATTTGATAGGCAAAAATATTTAAAAGTGGAATTGAAAATGTCAAAGCATGTATTATGTAAACAAGAGCTTGCATTCTCTAACACAAGTAAATACATAATCCAATTAGCTCTAAATCCTCTAAGAGTTTTTTGACGAAGGAAAACGATTTTACTTTCGGACTGGCTGAAGAGTGTGTTTCGTAAAAGACACTTTTATCACATTAATTAAAACTAGAAATAACCAAAGAAATGAAATACTCACAAGTACAAGGTAATTACAAGGTTGGAGTCAATTAATTTGAAAATGCAATTAAATACTTTGAAATATATAAATAGTTTTGTGAATCATTTGTTATGAGAATACATGTACAATTGATTTTTACGAAGATAATTGATTGTGAGTAAGAATGTATTTATATACATTTCAATTATTTCAGTTTGATTTTACAAAATTTTGGAGACCCACATTTAAATTTTTTCAGAATTTTAATGTCTGTTGATTTTAGGGATAATTAGGGATAAACGAGTTCCTGTTGCAAAAAGCTCATTAAAACCGCTTTAGGTACATCAATGAATTTTCAAATATCTATTAAGCATCATCTTTTCGATCTATAAAAAAACCACAAATCATAAATTTTATTTTTTAATAAATTAGTAATGTTTTTGAAAGCAATGGTATGTCCCTTTATAACCTACGAGATACACGATATATTTTTCGATTAAGTGTAGCTTTAAAAATATTTGATATGAACATTTGAAATTCAAAAATCTTGTTAATTCAGGTATGTGTTGGGACACCATTGTTCCATAAAATATGGAATTTTTACCTAATTCTGGAAGTTGTATGAAATTTTATCGTAAATTTTGCATGGAGTGTCCAAACAAAGAAGGCATTGAAAATGACGTAAAAATGGGGAGGGGTTTCCTTTTCCAACATTCTATCAAGTTTTGCCCCTGAAAAATTGGTATAGACCTAGGGGATGTTGAAACTGGCTATTGAGAAATAATATATATCCAGCGTATTTGTTTTTTAATGCCAGAATAAATAAAAAGGGAAAAGGGATGCACAGTTAATGACGATCTGAAGTCAAGATGTGAAAAAATCAATCACGTCAAAATTTACGTTGATCATGTGCTGAAGCTATTGAACTCCATAAAAGCAAAATATGCTGGCATAATCAAGCGAGGATCTCTCCCAATGTATAAATCCATTTGCAATATTATATGCATTGAAAGCCGCTGTTCATGACATTGTAAAGTCATATTAAAAAGACGGATTTAAGTCCTTACTCAGCTCCAGCGAATGTCATCAAATTAAGTGTATAAGGTAGAAGAAGCGGACACTGAAAAACAATGACGTTGTCGGACGTCATGAAACTAAACTGCGACGGCGCCAGGTTACCATGTAATGTTGTATTAGTTTTATAATGATATGGCAAAAAAATGAAACGTATCAAGCTAAGATTTTCAAAATTCCTTCATTTTTTGTTGTTTTATGTTCCTTATAAATTTCGAAAGCGCAGAATACATAGTACTATAATTTTATAGCCTCAGTCAACAAACTTTTTGATAACCCCTTTTAAAACATTCGGTGTGTGTGGTTTGGTGTTTCATCTTTTCAAAACCTATTCACAATAAGATTTTTCGTAAAGATGAAACAGGAAACAATTTTTTCTGATTAATACTTTGATTTCTATTTTTATTGATTTGAATTTTGAATCTTTCAATTTTTTATGTGATAGCCATGTTTATAGAAACATGAAATTAAACTATTCAGTCATTGTCTTTTTTAATATGATTCTTTGATAATTTCAATTCTTTCAAATCAAAAAAAAGCTTTTAACTAAAAGGTTTGACCTCTCCAATGCCAACACAATATAATTAGGAAGAAAATGCTGTGTTGTAATCGATATTGACACACAGACAATTTTGTATTAAAAGAACATTAACATAATAAAATTGATTGATTAAATATTTTAACGTCTAATTTGAGAAATTTTCGCTCATACAGAGCTGACCTGCTTCAGATGAAGTACCACAATACTGTAAAATCACATATTTTTTGGGGGGTCAAATTTTCGTGGTTCATGGAGATTTATTTTCGTTGATGTAGAATTGTTGAGTAGTTATGTGTGTCACATTTTACATTTCATGGTGGACATGAATTCGTGGATCTCTTCACACCTCGAAAACAATGAAAATTAAAACCATACAATTTCACAATATTTGACCCATTAATGTTTCTAAAGGCCGTGACAGTAAGGGAATTACTTCGCATCAACGACTGCTGTGAAAAAGAACTCGGATTTTAAGGTCTTACTCAAGGACCAAGGACCGTTTACTCCAATTATCGAACTCCAAAAACTTTGATTATAACCTAATTTTGTAATCTTCACTTAAAAAAATATGATAAGCATCTTATATATTACCTTTTAAAACAGGTACACAGTTACCCCCAAGACAGATTGCATCCTCGGTACAGGTATGCTTGGGACAATCGGCCGCCAGGTGCTAAAAGTAATTCAACTTAGCGTGGTAACTCATTTAATATTGGACCGAATTGTTGTTATTCTAGTTACTGGTGCTATAATATCTGATACATTGCTTACCTTTGGAAAACTTTCCCGGTCAACATGAATGATTCGGCCTCCGGTCATAAGACTACTGACTTTTTTGATGGCAAATCTCGTGTTTAGTTGGCATATCTTTTTTTCGCGTATCCAATCCACTGAGCGACACAACTCAAATCTGTTACAAACCATCATGCACATTCCCATTTCTGCATTGGTTAAAAGGTTAAAGCCAGGTACTGAAGAATTTTCATAATTGCTAACGATTAAAGTTTTGGGATCAAAGCACTCAGAGCAGCATGTCTGTAAAAGGCTTAAGATTTGTCCAATGAGGTAAACATTGATCACCTTAGTGTCCGCTGTAAATTTCATTTTAACAGTTTTCTGTAAGAATTTAGCGGTCAGATTTCATTGTTGGTGGCTTTTACCAGAATAATCTACTTTGTGAGTTCTCTACACTCCTATATCATATATATTTATTGCTAAGGTCTGTTTATTTATTATTGATCAGGACTCATATGATAGCACCATTTGTGTTTATTGAATACATTGTTACGTAACCTAAAAAGTATTGTCGATCTTAATTTTTACAGTTGTTCATATTTGATTATTTTTCGTCTCATTTCAAATAATAATAATAATAATATTAAAGATGACTAACATTCTCAAGATCTGTATTAATTACATTTTCTCCTTTATTTTCTGTGCAGAAAACAAAGATAGCTAGTACTTATGTTTTTAATCGTAAGTACCGACACTAACTTTTAAACTGAAATGTGAAAAGGAGAATGTACCAGTTATTAAAGAAATCTAACTAATGTATATTTTGAAATATATTCTTGTCATACATGCAATTGATCAAATATAGATATTCAATGGAGAAATTTAATGCTTTTGTGATCTTTGATAAATTGATTTTACCTCTGAAACTAAACTAGCTCCAACAAACAATTCATGGTATTCTAAACAAGCAATTTAAATATTGATTGAAAAGATTGGTATAAAAATTGGATTTTTGAAATTATTTTTTCAACAAATCTTTTTAATAATATATCCTATCCTTTCAATTTTCCTAAAATGTAAAAGAGGAAAATAAAGAACAGTGGCCAATTTCATAAAATTAGTAAACAAAATGAATAGTGAACAAGACAAACCTACAGACCCCAGGAAACACCAAATGTGGGATTAGGTGCTAAGGACTATTACACATACCAGGTCCTGCTCGACGGGCCAGGCCTAAGCTTAATGTATTAGTAAAGTAGACGTAGTAATGTTACACTGAAGAAAAAAGTCTGCTGTGACGACCAAGCCACATTGACCGTGAAATTTAACAAATTGAGTACTCAAACGCGCTAAATATATTAAACCTAAGCATTTAAGAGTAAAGAGGGATCAAATACTTTTAAATATTCTTTAAAGTATACACACTTTCTTTGTTTCACAAGCATATGTGTGCAATCTTGATGTTGTTCTTTTTTGGGAGTTGAACTATGTTCTATCTCTAATGGTTATCACGCATTTAACATGCGCAGTAATTTGTGTTGATTAAATAGAGCCGAAAGCGAGGCTACTGTGTCGACCGATTTACTCCAATGATATTCAACGAAAAACATGCATAAACATCCGCCACAAATAGTTCATGTCATTTTTTCCTGAATTGATCTAATTTTCATAATGTAAGTATACGTAATGATAAAGTAATGTTATTCTGAATATTAGATTTCGTTCAAAGTAAAACTAAATTATAAATAACCTCAAATTTTTTTCGTAATGGAACTCATTTTTAGTGTAGCGTCATACACTGAAAGAGATACGAATGATAACTCTAAATACTGACGGCAAGCGGTAAATCTAGTCTTCCCGACGCCCGACGATACCGGATTTTTAGCAATTTCTTTTTTACCGGCGCACAGAATTTATTCAAACTTTCCATGAACATTTTCTTGGTTTAAATGAATTTATTAATGCATAAAAACTTAATCACTAAATCAGCAGTATAACCTGCCAAAAGCGGTAAATCTAGTACTCCGTTATAAATGTTAAAACCAAAAACAGACACCGATGTTTTCGTAAAATCGTGATTAAAAAAAATGAAGTATATTTTTTTTAATAAAAGGAAAACCTCATTTACATACCAGATTATTTGTACGCAAACTCTCACATATACCACTGTTTTTTATGTTTGGTCATAAAATATTTGTTTTTAACTTGGTATTGCTTTTTTCTCCACTATACTAAAAAAGATTAATTTCTGACTTACCCCATGTATAATGTTCGTGTAATTGTTTATATAACAAACCTGTTAGCTTTTAAAAGGATGCTGTGTTAAAATCCACATTTTATCAACATTGGTATTATTCCTGCGAAACTGAAATTTTCATAACACATTGGGTAAAGGTGCCAAGGAAAAATATATTACAAATTTTAAGACTGTGAGCAGTGAATTATATAAATGATCAACCGCCTCTAATATGAATATAATGGCAGTGTCCATGTTTTGCAATGGGAAACCCAAGATATGTGTAGGATGAAAATTAAAGTAAAAGAAGGTGTACGACGGCAATATGTAATAAAGATTCTATGAAAATTTCGTTCAGTGGTGTAAGAGGAGTTGCGGATAAGAGACGGGTATACCTAAAGCGTAACAAACAGATGGACGGAAATCCCGATTAATGAATACCCTCCCGCTTTTCAAGCAGGAGGTATTAAAAAAGGACTGATGTAGGCAGGCAAGCATTATGGCCCATGCATTTTTTTTTTTTTTTGCTATTTAATGCCTCTAAATGTCTTTCTCGTGATTGTTGCGACTCAAAAAATCTGAAACAGTTGTCTGTATTTGAAATAAAAATATTGTTCACTCACTTAAGGTGGCTCATTACATCCACAGTTTATTATAGATTTCATTACAGCACCACTTATAATGTAGATGTCAAATATCCAGATGGAGGTATTGATATCATAAATATTTTTTGGACATTTTTTTAGGTTTTGACTAATTTTAGTGAAATGTTTTATTTCAAGTTTATTATTACCAGAATTTCATAGAACTTTCAGTTTCAAATGATGGGCATCTTCTTATGACAAGTATACACATTGAAAATACCTCATAATACCTAATATTAATTTTATTAGAAAAAATAATTTTCTTCTAAAAAACAATTTTTGTCATTATCTTTTTAATATGTACATAAAACATTTTTAAAAAATAAGTTCTGAAGAGACAAGGAATGTATTTCAATGAATTACACGTGACAAACTGAAGAAAGAAGTTTTAAACAAAATGAAAATTCCAGTTTTAAAAATATTAGATATAAAAAATCCACTTCCAAGAGTTATCTTTCCTAATTACCCAAGACTCAAAACACTAAGGAACGTTTGAACATTACATTTAAAATTCAGAACAATGCTTTAAATTGCCAGAGTATATATATAAATCAATAAAGCAAATATATAAATAAACACCAACACAGTAAATAGTGCAAGTAAATAACTTTTAATTTCAACAAGGTTGTAGATTTTAACTCGAATTTCCTACATACAAACATGTCATTGATAGAGCTCACTGCATGCATCGCTTTAAAAATGCATATTACTTGTTTGGCGAAGATTTGGCTGTTGTTTTCTTTTGTTTCTGTTTAAAATCAATCCTTCTTTTTTTTTTTTTTTACATTTCCATTGTATACAAACAAAATTCCAACAAATTGACAAATTGAAGCCATTGTACTGAAGAATCATTTGTTGTCTTGAAACATACTCGAAAAACATCTTGTGTACATATATCATTCACTCCATGAGGGGACAACTCTGAATTCCACTTTGAAATTGCTGTAGGCTTCAAACAATTTTTGTTTATGACATTGTAAATAATTTTTGAACATTTTGTATTCAAAAAAATATACTCAAAATAAAAAGGTAAATAAGGCAGACAACTTTTGTTCAATATTGTTCTCTTAATTCCCATATTTTTAAAACATTTAGCAATGGCACTAATAACACTATTGTACTGCATTACATTTAGAGTAGGAAGATTAAAATTTTTTTGAAAAGCAGACTTTGAAAGAAAAATACAATCTTCGGACAGAAAATCTCCAACAGTTTTGACACCTTTCTGATACCAATTTTCTATAAAAATACTCTTATTTTCAATCTTAATGTTTGAGTTGTTCCATATTGGAATATTACAAGCCTTAGTACTTATGTCCATATCATGTTCTACCTTTTTCATAACATACTTCCAAGAACTAAAAACCATCCGACAAAAAAAGGATTGTTCTTTGACATTATGACAGAAGAAATGTATTCATCTTCAAAACCTAAAATTTGTTTTATAACGTCCTTTCAATTAATTTTCAGGAATATATCAACCCATGGTTTGTTTCTTGCAGTCAACAGTCTTTTGACCCAAGTGCATTTCAAGGATTTCATAAAGTTGTCAATATTTACCATCTTTAAATCTCCCGTCAGATTATTATGAGTAGCTATAGTTCTCTTAATCTTATCACATTTTGATTTCCATACAAATTCAAAGATATCTTTATTTAATGAGGAAATTTTGTCAATGCTAGGTGCTGGAAGAGAAATAAATAAATGATTCAGTTTTGGTAATATTAGAGTTTTAACAACAGTGACTCGACCAATGGGAGTTAGTATTCGTCGATTCCACTGTTGAATCAATGATTTTTACCTTAGGTAGAATTGAATTATAATTTGTGTCAGTTATTGTTTCTAAATCTACTGAAAAATTAATGCCTAGCAAGGAGAAGGTTGTTGACCCCCAATCTAACTTCCATCTCGGGTGGTGAAAAACTTGGTTTCAATTTTTTTTTGAACCAATCCAAATAATTTTTGTTTTAGTACTGTTTATTTTCAACCCAGATAACCGCGAAAAAAAATCTAAAGTGTCAAGAGCCGCAAAAAGTGATTTTTGTGAACCATCAAGGGCAAGCGAAGTGTCATCAGCATATTGGGAAATTTTATGTTCTTTCTCCTGAATAATAATGCCTTTAATATCTTTATCTTGTTTCACTAGAATAGCAAGGATTTCAGCACAGAGGAGAAATAAATAAGGTGCAACAGGATCTCCCTGTCTACAACCTCTCTGAATATGTATTTGTTCAGATAGATGTCCACATTGCAGAACAGATGCTTTAAAATTTGTATTTAAAATTTTGATCCAATCAATGAATTTATTTCCAAATCCAAAATAATTCAGTACTTTGTAAATAAAACACCATGATATTGAGTCAAAGGCTTTCTCAAAATCAGTAAGAACTAGGAGACCTGGTATATTTCTCGACTCGGTATATGACAAAAGATCATAAATAAATCGCGTATTTTCCCCAATATATCTACCTTTGATAAAAC